AGAAATAATCGACACCTCGTCCGATAATTCGGTTATAGTCGAGGAAATATAATGCCAAAACTTCTTTCTCTCTCTTCTTGAGATACGTGGATAAAGTGTGGCATATCTTAGGATTGTTTCTCAACTTATATATAAGATATGTCTTCTTTAATAATATGGAAGAAGATTAAGTTCGCATTCTTTTTTATAAATTTGTTATAAAAACGTGAGAAAGAAAGCGTGCTGAATTCGAATTTTGGCAATAAAAAATTGTATCTATCGTACGATCTTCTTTCTCGAGTTACTGCAGAAGCATTGAAAATCACGGGCTTGTAGAGAGACCCAAGCAAAGAAAATTTTGCTCCGTCCACGAATTCGCGAGAAATTCAAACGTAACTTTCCTTGATCCCTATGGCATCCTCCGTGTCAAGAAATACCGCACGGTATTCAAGATTTCTTCGCGTAAACTTCGTTAAGCATTTGCAACGAACGAACGAACGAAAGCATTATCTTCGCCCGAAAGTACACCAAGTTGCAGAGGATTCTCGTCAAAGTTTGCGCGTTAAGGAAGTTGGACGAAGCTTCGTCTATTGTCTATCGCGTGTCGATGAGGTCGCTACGCTCGCAATTAAACTTTGTGCGTGAAGGGACGAAGAATTGCTCGAGCGGATTACCCGTGTTGGGATTCCGTGGCTTCTGGCTCCTTCAATTAAACCGATCCTCTTGGTAACTTTAACAGAGTTACAGAAAGTAAGTTGTGTTTATGCGTTGCTACTGATATGAAAAGCGTTCGTGGAATATTCGTAAATGTTCCGTCGAGAGCTTTGATCGAGAAAATGGCAGAACCGGTAAACGGTTCGATCTCTTGGAGATATAAAATAAATCGTTGCCTGTTTACGTTTGCAATTTCGAGAGAGAGAGAAATGTTCAAAGAGGTAATTAAATTTTCCACGAAAGGGAAAACTCGTGAAAATAAGCAAGTCTCTTTTTGCAAGGTTTCGATTCGAGTCGAGAAGTTTGATCAGCGAAGAAACAATTAACAGTTGAGCGAATGTTGCTGTTGACTTACGCAACGGTGAAAATCGAAAGAAAATGATTTTTACACATTTTTTTAAAAATTCAAAACAAGGCTTCCACGAATCGAATTGCATGGAATCGAAAAATCGAGAAAAGGAATTTTCTCTCTCTCAATGCTTTCGTGGAATCTGAAACTGTGATTATCGAAGAGACAATGGCCGCGCGCTGGTGAATGTCGGTCGATCGACGTGACCTTTGAGTCGGCTGACATTTGAACCCTGAGAAGAAGGGAGCCGCGACTAACTGCTCTGGACGGGTGGTGACGTACGATCTGGTGAAATCGAATCGGAGTACACGTCCACGGTACTCTGTTAGATTGATCGATCTCTCTCCACCGAAACTCGAAGCCTGCGAACAGTTCTTGCCCTTCGTCCTTCCATCGAAAATCAATGTCTTTCACGGGCTGGCCGAGATCTACGGGCCTGTAAATGCCGTTCTCCTGCAAATTTACAACGGTAGAAATTCATTGGAAATTCGTTGTCTCGATATGAATGGCCTGATTGTGAAAAAACAATTCGATTCTAAAGTTTCGAAGTTTGATGGTTTGGCCTTTTGGATCTTGGATTTCTTTAAATTTAGATCGTTTAAATTCCTACGCTCGTCATTGAAGCGATGTAGATAATACGATTCTTTTGAAGGTAAGTCAGTAATGCATTGCTCTGACCTGGCCTCAATTGGTCTGGCATCTAGCAATAAGGCACGAGGACTGTCTTTCTACAGACGATATTCTTTAATGCGAATAATCTTTTTTTCTTCTGAAGATAGTGCATTAATTGGATGGTGTTATTTGATTAGAACTTTTTCTTTTTAAATTCTTTTCGAAATTCGTTTTATTTTTGCATTTATTTGATTCAAATATCTTCAAATTTGATCCAACATTCAATTTCATCTTCTTCGTTTAATCCATGGGATTATCGTTTACCACTACACGATTAAATTAATAATTGTTTGGGAATAATAACGAACAATTGATAAATAATTAATAATTATTTCAATTAATAATTGTTCGATATCCCACAAGTTGGCAAAGATTGTATTAAACGATTATTAATTTAAATTTGCATTAATCTGAATAATTGAAGATCAAATTTTGCGAATTTTTACCATAATTATCCATAAATAAATATTCATAGATCAAAATAACATTTTCCAATTTTAAAAAATTCGAATCGCTTGAAATATAATTCAAACTCTTGCGATACTTTGATAACTCTTAAAAATTTCAACGCTCTTATATTTCTTCTATCCAATAAAATCTAACAGGGGAAAATTCATCGATCGTCGATCCATTTCTTTAATTCTCTTCTCAAAATTCTCACTCTATTCAAATCTCGCGAAACTTCAAATTATTCTCTTTCCCCTTTAAAAGAATTTCGAGTCGAAGAATTAACCAATCGCTCGACCAACGCCATCTTAATATCTAATCTCGCAACACCAACCACAACAACAACAACCCCTGTACAATCCGTTTAAACGTTAAACAATCTCGAAATCACGGAAACGAGGCGCATCTGGCAGCTCGATCCTCACGCGTTGATCCAACCGCGCCGCGCGAGGAAGAAGATACACTTGCGAGGAGCAGAGGCCGTCGATCACGCCATTTCCCCTAGAGCCGGCAAGCTAATACAAAGTTATCGCAGCCGGCCAACCTCGCTCGTTAATCTCGTTCGTTGTGGATTCACGTCCGGAAGGTTATTTCGAGCGGAAGTGCATCGCTGCGCTAAGCTCCCTTCCTGTCCAACCCCACCCCCTCCCTTACAGAATCTCGTCTCGAGGAGAAGGGGGAAGACGCGCGAGCCTCTAAATTTAGATCTACTCGCTCTATGCTGCTTCTTCTGTGAGGAAGGGAAGAGGAGGAGGCGACAACGTTTTGTTAAGCAAAACAAAACGGCGAAAACGCTCGAAAGAGGAGACGCTTTAATGGAGATGGCGTCGAAGAAGGACGCGATCGGCACGCGACGCCGCGTAAATTTAGATCTCTAGGATCGAAACTGTTGGATCATCACGTGCCTTATCCTCTAGAGAGAGATATACGGTTATTTATGGATTACTCGCGCGTAGTTTCTACTCACGTTGTGACGGTGTCAAAGGTTAAGTCGTTTTGGGAGAATCTTGAAACGAGGAAACGATTGGTACTGGTTGGTCAGAGTCGCTTCTTTTCTTACGAAGATTGTGTGTCCATGAATTGTGTGAAAAAAGTGAATGAGATGAGAGGTGAAGAATTTGAAATTGGGGGGATGGTGGTGGTTGTTTCACTTAGTTCTTTGCCCCGCGGATCCTTTCTGTTTGGAAGGAAAGTTTTCAATTATTGTCCATGATTGTAGAAAAATTGAATATCTCGGAGGAGATTGAGGAGGTGGAGATGTTGAGAGAATTTGAAATTGGGGGATGATGATACTTGTTTCGTTTTTTATGAGATAAAGGATCTTCGTGGATCCTTTTCTTTTTTTTAAGAAAATTGTATTCGTGATTATGAAGAAATCGAAAAAGTTGAGATCGAGGTTGGATAAATTTGAAATTTGGTTGGTATTTGGAAAATACCATTTTTATTGATTGTACGATTTGACTGAAGTGAAAGAAAGAATTACAGAAGCCGTTAATATTAGTTATATTTGAGAATTGGAAATGAAATGCGCATATTTCTGAATAATAATTCCTCTTCTACTTAAAGGATTAGAATTAAGAATTTCAATTCAATTGGAATGTATTTTTCCAATTACATCGTATATAATTATAACATATCTTTCTCGATTTATCTCGTAAATCGTCACAAGTAGCAGATACAATATTCATTTCATCGATGGAATTACCGATTCCATAATATTTTGAAACAATACGAGAGGATTACGGAATTTGTATAATAGATGTAATATTTTGATTAATTACTAATCACTGTTTCATTAACGGGACAATCCGAAACGATCCGTTCCAATTTTATATCGAGCTGTGGATATATACACACGTTCTTGCAAAACGTTTCTCCACATACCTCACCGATTAAACCTTGTTGCAATATTTAACAATAGAGTGAGCCAGCCTTCAATTACACTGGGTGAAAATAATTTTCTCGGCGCACCGACATGTTACGCCCTCGATGCTCCCTCAACTATTAAATTCCGAAGGAAATAAAAGTCGAACTCGTTCTAAATCATCGGCATATTGGATCATACGATGAGTAACGCGATTCTTCCTATCGAATCCCATCGTGCAATAAACTAGTCGTCGTATCGACGAAACAGACGATACAAGGAAATGCTGATTTATCTCGGTTCTTACATAAAATCCGTGACGAATGATACTCGATACCCACTTTCGAGTAGTCTCTAATAATATAGACTCAGGAAGTGCCATCATAGTGTAGTTTTTTTTTTTTAGAACAGCTTTCTACACTAATTATAAGCTAATAGTTTAAAATCTTTGTTCAATTTATATACATAATCTTTTTTTTTTTTTTGTAATTAATTTATTCTTTCAGAAATGTTATTTCAAATTCGTGTAAAATTTTGTATCAAATATGTTTATCTCTTAATCATTCGATTTTCTTTTTAAGATCTTTCTTCTTTTTTTTTTTTTTTTGTAATTAATTTATTCTTTCAGAAATGTTTTTTCAAATTCTTTTAAAATTTTTTTTAAATTTATATCAATAATCTTTTTTTTTTTTTGTAATTAATTTATTCTTTCAGAAATGTTTTTTCAAATTCTTTTAAAATTTTTTTTAAATATTTTTTTTTCTTTATTCATCCTTTTTTTTTTTTAAGAACAGCTTTCTACACTAATTATAAGCAAATAGTTTAAAATTTTTGTTAAATTTTTATCCAAAATCTTTTTTTTTTTTTGTAATTAATTTATTCTTTCAGAAATGTTTTTTCAAATTCTTTTAAAATTTTTTTTAAATATTTTTTTTTCTTTAACATTTGATTTTTTTTTTTAAAACTTTTTTTTTTTTTTTAATATCTATTCTTTCATTCTTTTCCATTATTCCAAAGTTTTTCTAATATACGTCTAGCAAACTGAACCTGTTATTTACATAAATCTAACTCAATCTAACTTCCAATATTTCAAGATATCTCTTACGGCTATTATTACTCTTGTCTAGACATAACCTAAAACCTTTCAAATATTGACATAATTTACAGTCACTATCTAAAACCAATAGACATTTCCAACTTTGACTTTGAGCAAAACGCAAATTGCCTTCACTTTGAACTTCGTCTATGTGTACATACACCGTATCTTCTGTCCAATAATCCACAATCGAAAAAAAAAAAAAAAAAAAAGAAACCTTAAGAAAAGCCATCCAAGATAATTTTCCAACTGGCATTCCAACATATGGCATTCCCCAACGTTTCCACTCCCTACACATTCAGAAGATCCACGTTGCACGTTCCACAGATTTAAATCAAGTTTCAAACGTCTAATAGATAGGAGGAAAGCATGCTTTTAATCCATCCCTACAAATTAGCTGCGCGAAACTGCGACGAGGCACGGAATTAAACGTTGCACGCTATCTCGTTGTTGCCTCGTTGTAAATCATACGCCGAGTACGCCGAGGGACAATAACAGACGCGTTGGCTCTGGATTACGAAAGATCGGATGCTCCACGCTTCGTTGGCTAAGGCACGATCGCGAAGACGATCCAAGATTTCGACATTAATACCGCCA